ATCAGTGAGACCGATTGTAATTCGTCAACTCAGAATCTGCACTTATATAAGTTATGGAAGTGATTTCAGTTTGTTCAATTGGATTGCGTCGATTCAGTAATTTTGTAGTAGTTGGAGTTCAAACTGCTTATCCTTCATCCATGGCTGATTTCAGTACTTAGTTTCAATAAATCACGTTTGCACCTGACCAGTATTGAGGGTTCCCATATTAGAACTTGAAGCCATGCTTTAAATCGTCTGGAATTTCAGGATTGTATTGACTGAAGCAAACTAAGGGAGAATTTTTTTTTCTCTCCTTTTCCTTTAATTGAATATTACATTGAAAATTTCTGACCTGCATGTGGGTTTGTCACTTTGTCTATCAAACAGTGGGAACCAAAATTTCAACACTTGGCATAGGATACACTACATAAGTAATTAACTAAAGCAGAATCAATTATTGACCAAGTTTTGAGCTACAGTAATGTTATCCATGCTTGATTGATGTATAAATAATAATATATATAAACATTTGGTCCAATACCATGATTCCATCTGATATGTTTGATTCTGTGTGATCAGCTGATTGACCTTGTCGACAGAACAGTTGACAGAGATCTTAATCTTATCAAGGAATTGGGCTTAAATGTTGTGTATGCTATGAATACTCATGTACATGCTTATCACGTCACTGGAACAGGACTAATAAAGGTAATCAGTTTTATGCTTCTAGGACTGTTTTGATGGATTTTTCTTTTCACGGTTACATGCTTTGTTTTCTTTGGTAATATGGTTAGCTAATGGTGTGAACTTGCAGACTAAGCTACCTGGAGTTAAGTCTGTTATTGCAAAAGCTAGTGGGGCAAATGCTGATCATTTTGTTGATCATGAGGACACAATACACTTTGGTAACCTTTTCCTGTACAACCACATTCTAACAAACTACTTTACTACGTTCTGCTTTATCCATTTATTATACATAAATTCCAAGATTTAAAATCTCACATACAAGGAGAATAATGTAACTAGTTCTCTTAAGTGCTGGATGCACTCACCACTTCACCTGGAATGGTGTCAAAAGGATCAATCAATGAAGTTAGACGCCTTTCTGATGATGCAATTAAAGAGATGGTAGCATCATCACGAAAGAAAGCATCTATTGCCTATAGGGGTATGGTTTGTGGCTTCTTGAGTTCAAAAGGGAAATGCAAGCTTTGGAAGCAGATCACTAAGCATTTTATTACTCAATTTCTTCAGGTTGAATCTATTCTCAAGGACTTCTGGAAAAATGATGCCAGGTTCTGCATGTTACTTTCTGACTTCCAGAAGAATACGTTAAGTGAACCAGAAAAGAGAAGGGGCTATGAAATGTTTTTCTTGAATAGTCTATTTAGATAGGAATGATTTCATATGTAGCACATTAGTGATTGGTTGGAAAATAACAGGGCAAACATAGAAGTGACACGAATTCATACATCTAATCACTGAAGTAGGGATGCATCACTTACCTGTAATCTTTGCCTCATTTTGAACCCAGTTGCCGATTGCAGTCGGAGTACGGGGCTAGCCTCCATCTGCCGCTGTATCCATAGTGCCAATTCCAGACGATGGATTACTCGGCTGGTCTCTATCTTTTGCCGTAGCCATTGCCGGCGAGATGAAACGATAAAAAAGAGATGAGAAAGTAGAGAGAGGATGCGGTTTGTGAAGGATGTTGTAGGGTTCCTGCGATCAGGAATGAGCAACTGCGATCCTACAGGAAAGAGCAACTGTGATCCTACAATTACGGAGGCCACGATCTCCAGACGAGAGTTTCCAAACGAAGAGCACCCTACCGCTAAGCCGCGTGGCCCATGTAAGCCCGCAAGGGGAGACAGGAGGCCCAAGACGAGCGGCCCATGAGCGGCGTGCATGTGGTGGTGGCCGAGCCCGCCGCCGCGTCAACGCGGTGCCTGGCGAGTCCTCATCGATCACCAGCATTTCTGAACTGACCCCGCCGCCACGCCAACGCGTCATTTTTTTTCTTTAGCACTAATAAGTAGTAGTAGTTTGTTGCCACTGGTCGTTGCTGGAGCTTACATCACCGATGCATGGTCTGGAGGACAACGCTTCGCTGCTTTCGTCACCTTTTCATGGGTCTTGAGCATTCGGAGCTTGGGTGAAGCGGATCTTGAATTCATCAATGGCAAGGGAGAATAGCTCAATGGCATCGGATGGCTAGTAGATGACGCGAGCGATTCACAACGATTCTCCGCGTTCTGCGTTGCTCGCAGCTTCACGATACGTGTTCGACGCTGACCGTCTAGCTGACATGATAGAAAGTGAACCGATCACTCTCATTCCTCGCCAGAGTGATGAACCACTAGCCATAACATGATAGCAACTCAACTTACAATCTCCGGGGCTAGTCCGAGTGGACCAATAGGCCCAACCTGAAAGGAAGCGAACTGATCACTCTTACATGTACTCCAAGTGTACTACTAGACCTAACATGATATGAAGTTAACCAGTCATTCTCATTCCTTGCCAGAGTGATGAACCACTAGGCATAACATGATAGGAACTAAGCCGCCACTCGCACGTGTCGTCGAGTGCACTAATAGGACAACATGATAGTAATTTGAACCGATGACTGTAGCCACATGTTTTTAAAAGTGTGATCGGGAGTTTTTCTTTATTTCAAGTTCTGGCTTTTTACTAGCAATTAGTAGTTTAACTCAAAAAAAATAGCATGGATTATGTATGAGGAAAATAATGTGGAGGGTGAAAAATAAATACAATACATAGAAATTGGATATGAATGGTGACAGCCTCCCTAGCTGCAGATATAAAAAAAATAAATTTTAAAATAAATGGTGGCAAAAAAAATTTGTTGCCACGGGCCAGCATCAGCTAGGTCGGGCTCGATCATGGAGGGAGCCCAACTAGGCCGCACCAGCCCGATTGGCCCAGATGACAGTGAGAGTAGGCATTGTACAGTTTAGGAGTTCGATCCCTAGTTCTTCTCCAGTTCTTTTATGCTGCGCTCTTAGCTGCTCAGTGAGCGAGGTGGGACTAAACCGGATACAGATGGCTGACTGCCGTATTCACGTGGCTTAGTTGGGCCACGACCACGTGATGGGCAGGCCCAGCCGCCGCCCGCTCCCCCTCCTCGATTCATCGCGTGCGCGCGCAGGCCAATAGGCCCAGCAACCGCGGCCAGGCGCACGCGTCAGTGACCCGGTCCCTTCCCCGCTGCGCCGCATCGACCGGCCGAATCCACCGCCGCCCGATTCCCGCGCACACGCCCCCCGAGGTTCCCCGCGCCCGTGCATATGCAGATTAGGCCCAGAGCACCGCGCCGCCCCCTTTGAACCCTACAGGAGCCGCCCCGAGCCCTAGCCCTAGCCCCCGCACCGCCATAGCCGCCACCCGGATCTCTACCCGCCGCTGCCGCTGATCTCCGCCTTCACCACGTCACCGGCGTCTAGAAGCCTCAACGACCTTCACAGCGAGGTGAGCAATCCGTCGGTGTAGTTGTTCTCAGCCTAGTATATCTCTAATTTGAAACATGTTCTTCACTTTTGCTTTCAATTTAAGTATTCAGAATTCCAAACACTACAGAGGCAGGAGCAAACCTAAACTCATTTCAGATAAACACATACCATAGTACTCTAATCCAAAGTGTACTGCAAAAACAACTCAAACAATACATGTATTTTGTACTCTTCAGAGAAAAGAACATTGTATAATATCATCTAAATTTTGTCAAAAAAAAAGTAATAGGCTATGTTGCTGTACCATACAGATAAAGTAACAACCCGCTCTGCTATGTTGCTTCTTCAGTTCGGCTCCAAACCAATAATGAAGCGAATCATATAATACTCATAGATGTATTGATTCTTTAGTTGAGCTGCAACTGCTGGTTGCAACTGTTGGCTACTTGAGGTGTGGGTGCGGAGCAATTTTTTATAGCAGCAGCTGCATTAGCAAATACCTACATGTTGAGTGTTACTATGAGCTTTCCTTTACCATGAATACTTGTGGTCATATCAAAGGGATTTTTGTTCCCTTTAATTCCAAATTTTATCTTGTATTGGTAGATGGCCACACTTATTGGAACAAAGTCTGATACTCTGGTCCTTGGAGAATGATTAAAAATGTCCGCATATCCTTTACAGCGGCTAAACCCTTTTTTAGCCTAGTGGATAATGTACGAACAGTAGGGCTGTTATTCCGGGTGGTTCCTTGAGCCAGCCCTGAAACCAGCATCTCGGGTTCAAACCCTGGCCTTGGCACTCGGAGGCTCCTCCGTTGGCTTTCCTTGTGAAAAAAGATGTCTATGAACATGAACGCGTTGTCATACTGTAGTCCTGCATATTTTTTGACATTGCCGTACGGATGCTTGCTGCTGCTAGTTATAATTTTTTTTCTAGTACTTTGTTTGCTATGTTTAGGCACTTCACCATCAGCGCTACTAGGTAGAGCAACTGAGTGACTTGTATGTCAAAATGTAGCATGAAATCGTGCCTTTACGGAACTATTCCTTCAGACTTTTCTCAAATGTCGCTGATTGATGCAGGAGGAAATGCCGGATCTTGATTCTTTGCTGGAGTACAATGAAATTGTTAGGAAGAAATTTGGTAGTGAAACAGAAGGATATCTGTTTTATAACAAATACGCTAAGGGGAAAGGATTTAGTGTTAGGAAAAGTTATTGTGAGTGGGACAATGGCCATAATGAGAGGACCCTTCGGAAGTTTGTTTGCAGTGAAGGTTTCCGCGAAGAGAAGGAGCTGAAGAGGGAGATTAAGAAGCGGAAGCCACGGAATATTACTCGTGTTGGATGCCCTGCTAAATTTTTTGATTGCTTGGGATCAAAACACAGGGCAGTGGCATGTGAAGGATTTCATCTATGAACACAACCATCCAATGGTGGAACGAGACCTTGCTTGTCTTCTGCGTTCACCTAGAAGAATCAGTGATGAGCAAAAAGCTGATATTGTGGCGATGCAGATTTCTAGGATCCGCAAACACTAGATAATGGATATTATGGAAATGCAGTATGGTGGGTATGATAAGGTTGGATTTACAACAAGGGACTTGTATAATTTCTGTCGTCGCAATAAGGTGGAGACAATTGCTGCTGGTGATGCTCAAACAATCATCAGTTACCTGACAGAGTGCAGACGTAGGGATCCTGATTTCTTCTTCGACTACAAGACTGATGGGAAAGGGCACCTCAAAGGACTGCTCTGGTGTGATAGTCAATGTCGGCTTGATTATGCAGCATTTGGTGATGTCATCGTATTTGATAGCACGTACAAAACAAAATCGGTACAACCTGCCCCTTGTTCCTTTTGTTGGGGTGAATCACCATGGCAGCACAGTTCTTTTTGCATGTGGAATTCTTTCCTAGGAGACAATTGAGTCATATGTGTGGATTCTTAGGACATTCTCTGATGCCATGGTTCAGAAGCATCCTGTTTCCGTGATCACTGATGGAGACCTTGCTATGCAGAGAGCAATCGGGCTGGTGTGGCCGAATTCATCGCATAGGCTATGCATATGGCATATTGAGCAGAACATTGTGCGTAATCTGCATGTTGATGGTGTGAAGGCTGATTTCAGGTATTTCCTTTATGATTGTTGCTCCATAGAAGAGATTGAGAGGAAATGGCTGGAATTCTTGGATAAGCATAACGTTACAGAAAAGGAGTCATGGCTATATCAGATGTATGAGAGGAGGGAAATCTAGTGTGCTGCGTACCATGCTGATAAGTGCTATTTAGGACTGAGGGGCAACCAGCGGAGTAAGAGCCTAAACTCTAGGCTTCAGGTAAATCTAGATCGTAAAATGACATTGTTCGAGCTGGTTGAGCACTTTGACCACTGCCTTTCGCGGCTGCGCAGTAATGAAGCGAATCTGGACTTTGAAGCATCAAATTCTTTGCCATGCTTAGAACCAGATGCTTCAATTATTGAGAAAGAGGCTACGAAATCGTTCACACCAAGAATTTTTGCCATGGTGCAGTTCAGCATAAAAGCAGTCAAAAAGTGTTTTGCGAGAGAGATTCTAGATGACTATGATGCGATTAAGTATATTGTTGGTAGGGAGGATAAAGGAGACAGAGAATACCATGTGGAATGTGAGATATGTGTTGATGAAGGCAATCTGAAGGGAATTTCTTGTTCTTGTCTTAAGTTGCAGTCCCTTGGAACCCCCTGCTCACACATCTTCTTTGTATTGGGATATCGCAAAGAACACGTGCTTCCAGGCTGCTGTGTTTTGAAAAGGTGGACAAGGGGGGCCAAGAGTGCATTTCCTCCTATAAGGAAGAGCACCATGTATGACTATTCCTATAGCCTACAGAGGTACCATGAGCTACGCAATATCAGTCACACTGCATCCTTTGTAGCATCTCGTTCATCTGAAGCATATGAGCGGCTGAAACGTGCTCCTATAAGGAAGAGCACCATGTATGACTATTCCTATAGCCTACAGAGGTACCATGAGCTACGCAATATCAGTCACACTGCATCCTTTGTAGCATCTCGTTCATCTGAAGCATATGAGCGGCTGAAACGTGTTCTGCATGAGGAAACTGCTATGATCCTGCCAAACGGAGGAGAGAATGGAGACAATAGGTATGGTCCGATGCTGCCGCAATGCCTGGATGTTGATTCTGTAGAGTCTAGAAATGTCTTGGATCCCATGCATGTTCTTGGCAGAGGGGCCTCAAAGAAAAAGTTGAAGTCAGTTTCAAATAAGAAGAGATCTAAGGTGAAATGTACCCTGTGTAAGGGTGAGGGTCACAATCGGCGAACATGCTCCATGAGAGAAGAGGTAGTTAAGAGTAATGTTCATCAAAGCTAACAACTACCTGTGTGTGAGGATTGTCTAACTATGGCTAATGTTACTTTTCTATTGTAGGAAACAAAGCTCCCTGAAGATGTGCTGGATATATGATTTGCCAAGGATCCGCTTGCTGTTGCACAATAGGTACGCTGCTGCATAACTCATTTAAAGTGATACACAATATGGTGCTTTCAAACTGCAAATTTACCTTGATAGGGTAGCAGCTACTCATCATCCATGCCAAAGCTCAGAATGCTGGGTTGCTTACTGGCTCCAAAACTACTTCTAGTTCCATATATTGGTATGGCTATTAGTCAGGATTCAATGGAGTCAGGAGCATTGTATGTCGTACCAGTTCCAATCTCTAGCTGTAGCATATCAGTCAATTAAGCATTTCTTCTGTGTCAAATACCTTTCGCCTATAACTGCTCCCCTCCCCTATTCATCTCAGCCTTCTGTTCCTCTGCGGCTTGGCTTAGTTCGCCAGGGGTTGGGTTGCCTTGGCTTGGTTGTGGAGAATTATGTCTGCCTCGCTTAGTCTCTGTTTGGCTGCGTACTAGTCTGCTGCATATGTACTTTTATTTAAGAAGAGTTGTAAATTCTGTGTTGTGAGCTCAGGAATACCGTTTTGAGGGGCTTCAATGCTTGGGATTACTCTTTCCAGATAGTGTGTAGATGCACTGTGAATGACATGAGTACCCCCTTTTATTCTGAAGAGGATCTGTACTTACCTAGATAGCGATCTATCCCTGTATTGTGGAGATTATTCTGAAGCAAGTTTCACCTGTAAGTTTAACGCTGTTGTTTTCTGTTACCAGGCAAGGCACTGTCTTCATTAGATAAAAAAGAGGATGCTCTAGCTGCATGGAAGCAAGGATATGAAATCGCTCTCCGTGACACCACAGACTTGAAACAATTGCTTGAGCTGGAAGAATTGGTTTCTTCTGTTAAAATTTGTGAGACAACCGAGTCTGCAGACCATGTCATGGACACATCGACTTGTGATACCAAAGTTGTTATCTCTGAAGATCGTGTTGCTGACAAGTCGCTCGCTGCAACTACAATGGCTGATACATTTTTTTTTATCTACCTCTTCTGTTATTCCAATAAGGTTCCAAACTACTCTTAGTATATTATTATTATTTTAACCTACTGTAATTTACAACCTGTTAGTTTTGGATGAAGACATGCATAATGTGTGACGTTGCGCTCACTGCTCAATAAATGATACTCTTCTTAAGAAATGCTGAAGCAACAACTCACAGATTAACAGGATGGACTGAAAACACTGAACAAAAGTCTGGCACTCCTACTAGTTCATACTACATCGGACTGAAATACTGAACATTAGCATGGTTCATTCATACATAGACCGTGTGCAGGTTAAACAACGCTACTTACAAATCAGGCAGAACAACACGCACATTGGGGCGGTAGTACTCTCTGCAAAAACTGAGAGCAAGTACCAGTGTGCCACCAGTCACTCTACGGCTGGGCCGACGGGGGGAGGCCGAAGAAGTCGAGCGTCTCCGGCGTGAGGTCGTCGAAGCGAACGCCCTGGTGCATCGCCGACCCGAAGTGCACGTACTCCTCCTCGTCCAGGCCAAAGAACGGGGTCGGCGGCACCACCGCCAGAGGCTCCGGGCAGAAGGCATCGTCGTCGTCGGGGTCGACGAACACCAGTGGGTCGACGCCGGAGGCCGGGCTCTTGGCGTCACCATCACCGTCGCCGAACGAGAGCACACGAGTGGCCGCCGTCGGGGTGGCACTGGAAGAACCGAACTCTGATGCGCTGTCGTAGTGCGTGGGGAGCTCGATGGTGAGAGCCACCGCTGTGCGTGGAGGTGGCTCCTGGTCGTCCTCCCGCCTGCTGCTGCTCTGGCCGCCGGTGTGGAGCAGCGGCTTCGTCTCCTCGAAGGGGATCATGTCCTGGCACGGGATCTGACAGAGAAGCTGCAACTGCAATGCGCAAGGTTTCAGACTTTCAGTTGTCAGATAGATGTGTCATGGTGAGACTTGAGAAACATAAACACAACGTTTTTCAGAAAATGGTACAGTACTAGATGCTGATAAAAGAAAACATGGACAAAAACATTTTTCAGAAAATCATACTAGAATAAATTTGTTTGAAAGACAACTGCTTGTTGGCTACAGTAGTAGTTCAGAAAAAGCCAATGGTTGCTTCAGAAATGCATTGCTGCAATACCAATCAGATACTGCAGTGTATTTCTGCAACTCCACTTCAGAACAATCAGATTGTTTTCAGAGACAAAGGAAACATGCAACGCGCAAAGGTTTCAGACTTTCAGTTGTCAGATGTGTCATGGTCAAGACTTGAGAGTTGAGAAACATGAACACAACATTTTTCAGAAAAAAAATGATGCTACATGCTGATCAAAGGAAACACGAACATAACATTTTTTTTCAGAAATGGTACAGTACTAGATGCTGATAAAAGAAAATAAACTTTGGTATCAGCCATTGCTGACAAGTCGCTCGCTGCAACTACAATGGCTGATACATTTTTTTTCACCTGAAAGGTAGCAGTTGCACTCCAAGTCTTGATTTGTTGCAAGGATTTTATTCCTTTGATCACCAGAATATTGAATGTGACCCAGCCAGCAGTCAGGCAGTCAATACACTAGTCCCTCTCTACTTTGGAGGCTCAATACTTCAAGTTCACCAGGTCAATATTTTGGTGAACTTTAGAGATTCTTTTTCAGTACCCACTCGCATTGAAAGCAAACGACACCTACATCGGCCAGAGCACAGATCATAGTACATTCAGTTACCAAGTCATCTAGTCAGAACATTCTAATTAGAAGTAAAATAGACAAAAGACAAGCCACTGCAATTTACTTTTCGGAAAAAATATCATCTTGCACAATCACAGTAACTTGCATTCAGTTTTCAGAAAAGTAGCAGCTTGCAACACTAATAGACCAAGTGTCCAAATAAAAGACCAAGAACAAGTGCATTCAGTTTTCAGAAAAGTAGCAGCGTGCAACACTAATAGAACAAGTGTCCAATCGACCAAGAAGAAGTGACCAAGTAAAAGACCAAACTCCAACTATCCAATAGCTAAGAAGCATGTTTGTTCATCGCATGAGACATGTCGTCTTGTTGAGCTTCCTCATCAGCGCGTCGTTTCTTCATCACAGGAGACATGTCGCCTTGTTGAGCTTCCTCATCAGCGCTGCCCAATAGACAGTCCTCCTCATAAGGCTGCCATGGATGGCATTCGTCATCAGGCTGCCATGGACGGCCGTCCTCATCATAAAATCCAACTCCGTTCACTATGTACAGATGACAAATCTTTGTCCTTTCATAAGCATGTGCATCCACCATTTTGTCTACATTTTCTTGTCTGTCAATCTTTACCAATGCAGTTGATGGCTCACTCCAATAAACAGGATTCAGGTAGTACAACTGTGCGTCTCCTTTGTATCCAAAATAAGCTGTCAAATGCTGTGACAGAATGTAATACTCAACGGTGGCTGGCTCTGTAATTGCAAACTCGGCCAATTATTCTCGACTGTCGTAGTACTTCTGTAGATCCGAATAAATTTCCTTCACGGAGTGAATCTTAAAGCGCATTACCACATGCTACATGTATAGATTAGACGAATAAGAATCATTTCAAATCAACGAGTAACCAAAATTATATGAAAAATTCATATACCAGGCCACACTTGTTATTAGTTATTACACACATGTATCTCCGTGGTATACATATTATATCTTCTACCTGAAAGTGCAAACAAGGGGGGCGTTCACATGGTTATATATATAATATAAATTAAAAGAGTATTGTAGTTACCTCTATATTCATGTTGGCACGGACCTCCTCTCGTTGGATGAAGGACTCAATGAGGGTCTTCATCTTTAAGCGCTCATTCTCCAACGTTGTCAATTGTGCCCTTGCCTGCTCAATCATGGACTCAAAGCGTTGTTTCTCATTCTTTATATTGGCATCATTTTCTTCACGGGCCTTTTGTAAGAAACAAGAATAAGTGGCATGCTAAATTCAATTCCTTTTAAAACTACATCCAGTAGACTAAAAAGTATGCTACATCAAAGTACGAAATCATGTTATGCTTGTACAAGTGTTGTATTAACATGAAAAAAAAGAAAATGGATAGTGATTAATGCTACTCTACCTATTAACCAAGATAAAAGAATAATGCAGAACAGTGAACACACTTAAACATTACCTTTTGTAAGGCATCATTAGAGAGAGCACGCTCCTGCTCTATCTTCTGGGCATAGGTGGCATGCTGATCAGTTAATGCTTTGTTCAGCAGGGCAATCTGTTCTGTCCGCACTCTTTTGGCCAATTCAGAATGCTTAGTCTCTACCGCTTTGTACAGCTCGGCACGCTGAAGTGATATGTAGTTGTCATATTTACATCGTTGTTCTCTCCTCCTGATTTCAGCTTGGACACGTTTAAGCTGTATATCTAAATCTAGATCGTGCCGGTCCGCCTTCTGTTTGCTAACCATCTCCTCCCCCTCTTCCAGGGACCTCCGAACTCGTTGCATGTCGTTGCTACGATCCATGACACCTAGAGATTTAAAAACAAGAATAAGTGCCATGCTACATTGAAACCCTTTTAAAACTACATCCAATAGACTAAAAATCCATTGCAATAAAAAATTACTTAGGAAGACACTATATTAATTTGCTAACGCAGCCGCTGCTATAAAAAATTGCTCCGCACCCACACCTGAAGTAGCCAACAGTTGCAACCAGCAGTTGCAGCTCAACTGAAGAATCAATACATCCATGAGCATTATGTGTATAGCATCATTATTGCTTTGGAGCCCAACTGAAGACGCAACATAGCAGAGCAGGGTGTTACTTTATCTGTATGGTACAGCAACATAGCCTATTACTTTTTTTTTGACAAAATTTAGATGATATTATACAATGTTCTTTTCTCTGAAGTAGTAGAAATGCCATGTATTGTTTGAGTTGTTTTCGCAGTACACTATGGATTAGAGTAGTATGGTATGTGTTTATCTGAAATGAGTTTAGGTTTGCTCCTACCTCTGCAGTGTATGGAATTCTGAATACTTAAATTGGAAGCAAAAGTGAAGAACATGTCAACTCACATGTCTCAAATTAGAGATATACTAGGCTGAGAACAACTGCATTTGCAACTGAAAACCTTGTCGATTTCCATCAACCAAACTAAAAAATACCTACATAAGAGATACACGAATGGCACCGACGGATTGCTCACCTCGCTGCGAAGGTCGTGGAGGCTTCTAGACGCCGGTGACGCGGTGAAGGCGGAGATCAGCGGCGGCGGCGGGTACAGCTCCGGGCGGCGGCTATGGCGGTGCGCGGGCTAGGGCTAGGGATCGGGGCGGCTCCTATAGGGTTCAAAGGGGTCGGCGCGGTGCTCTGGGCGTAATCTTTATATGCATGGGCGCGGGGAACCTCGGGGGGCGCGTGCGAGGAAATCGGGCGGCGGTGGATTCGCCCGGTCGATGCGGCGCAGCGGGGAAGAAGGGACCGGGTCGCTGACGCGTGCGCCCAGCCGCGGTTGCTGGGCCTATCGGCCTGCGCGCGCACGCGATGAAGCTAGGAGGGGGAGCGGGCGGCGGCTGGGCCTGCCCATCACGAGGTCGTGGCCCAACTAAGCCACGTGAATACGGCAGTCATCCATCTGCATCTTGTTTAGTCCCACCTGGCTCGCTGAGCATCTAAGAACACAGCATAAAAGAACATGAGAAGTACCAGGGATTGAACTCCTAAACTATACAAACCTGCTCTCGCTCGTCACCTAGGCCAATCGGGCTGGCGCGGCCTGGTTGGGCTCCCTCCGTGGTCAAGCCCGACCTAGCTGATGTTGGCCCGTGACAACAAATTTTTTTGCCACCATTTATTTTAATTTTTTTTATATCTGCCGCTAGTGAGGCTATCACCATTCATATCCAAATTCTATGTATTGTATTTATTTTTCACCCTCCACAATCTTTTCCTCATCCATAATCCATGCTAATTGTTTTGAGTTACACTACTAATTGCTAATAAAAAGCTAGAACTTAAAAATAAGAAAAACTCGAGTTCACGTTAGATCTGAAAAAAATGCAGTAACGACGTCATGTTTCATAATCTAAGTTTTGGCAAATACTAAAATTGTTCAAACGTTGCATCATGCAACTGCGTAAGTGTACTTAGAAACAATTAAATATACGTGTCTGCAACAACACAAAAGTACATTGATCATCATCTTAAAAACAATTACTGCTATGATATACGTGTCTGCCTTGTACACCGGAGCAAGGAAACAACATGTGCACATGAAGAGGGGACCAAATCTGATTAAAACCAAACTACAGGTTAGTCAAACAAGAATCAAATGGGTTGGGGGGATTTTATCCACCTTGAATGGCTTGGTTGACATGACGTTGACAACTAAAGTACTTGGGTGAGTCCGACAGGAGCTTGTAGAACAACTCCCGTTGGTGGACCAGCTTCCCCTCCCCCAAGATCTTGTAGCACAGCTCCATGACCTTCCATACTATAATATCCAACAATAAACGGCTATTTTAGCAGCAGAAATCCTTCTCACACTAAATCCTTTCTCCTTAGCATTGTTGTTATAAAACTGAAATCATTCTTCTTCATTACCAAACATCTTCCTAACAATTTCATTGTACTCCAGCAAAAAAACAAGATCCGGCATTTTCTCTAGCATCAATCAACAACATTAAATAAATTAAAATTCCACAGAACAAATTAGAGAAATTGAGGAAAGACATGGCCGTAGCGGCCCAGCAGAAAGCCTCATGTCCATGTTAACATTTTCAATTAAAAAAAATATATACATAAGCATGCCACGCTGAAATAGTTGCATCATCCTACAAGATATCTCATGCATAAATGTTGAAAGTTTTTTTTACTCTTTTTTATTG